GTGGTGGCACATGCCTGTAATCCCAGCACTTGGGAGGCTGTAAACCGGCGGCTCACTATAAGTCCGATATAGAAGTGAGACCCTGAATACCCTGTAGATCATTCTCTGGAAAAAAAAAAAAAAAAAGCATTCTGAGCCTATGATTTGGTCAGGATAGTAGATTATAAATTAAACAGAAATTAAATTTAATATTTAAATGTCAATGGAATGCCCTTCTCTGACAAAACTAACAAAAAAAAGGGGAGGGATACAAATGAATGGCCATTTTGTATCTGTATATTCAAAATAGGATAGATATACGTCTCCATTCTCTTAATTCAATGAATAGAGAGGTTTGTTCTAATAGTACTTGAGACAGGATATCATGTTTGCATCTTGTACAATGAATAACCACTAAGACAACAATATGGAATGTATTAATTATTGAAAATGTGCTAGTAATAGGTTGTGAAATTGTCTCATTGCTGTTTCTCAATAAAAACATTTTTTAAAAAAAGAAAAAAAAAGAAATTAAATTACATTTCCTTTATTATCTTATAGGAAGCAATAACCATGGCAACAAAACGTCAATTTCCTAGGCTTCTGACCATGATTTTCTTCAGATGCTTCTCTGGTCTTCTGGATGATTCCACCCGAGGTGAGCCCATGGGGAAGTCCATGGCTGGGTCAGGAGAGTGACTTCAGGATGGGTTCCTGTTCTGTGCTTGCCTCTGGAGGAAAATTCAAACCACAGTGCCCCAACACATGCATGCCCTTCTGGCAGTGGGAACAAATCCATGACCATCTTCTCATCCACCCCCCCTTTCCTTTTTTTCAATGTATTTAGTACAGAGTCTCAATACACAGCTTGGACTCACAGTGATCCGCCTGTCTTCAGCTTCCCCAGCGCTGGGATTACAGCCTTGCCCCCACCATGCCCAGACTCCATCCATTGCTGGCACAGCATGCCTGGAGGGTGGGGCTGGCGCAGCATATGGTACCAGGGATTGAACCCTGGTCCCTGAGCTTACCTAAACAGGTGCTTAGTCCAATGAGCTATCTCTCTGGCCTTCTCCTTTTCCTTATAATCAGTGTCATGAAGGTAGAAGGCATTTATCTCAACTGAGATGTGGATTTGTGAACACCCATAAAGAATGAAAAAAAAAATATAATTCCTGCTATAGGTCTTTATTTCATGTGTTGTGTACCCAACCACCACCATCACCACTGCCAAGTAGTTCAAATGCTTCCCGAAATTACTGTGGCTTTGCAAGCTTGCTCAGTTTGGTAACAGCTAGAATTAATTTTGGGCTGAGTAGAACATTAAATTTTATTATGTGGAAGATTCCTAAAATGATCCTACTCTGAGAAGGACTTGACTTGTGGGCATGGCATGCATATTCTTTGCACTGCATGGTTGGTAGGCAGGTGACTGGCAAGGCTTTAGAAAGGGTATTTGGGGGCCAGAGAGATAGTTCAGTGGTCTACGCGTCCACGTGGCAAATGCCTGGGTTGGAACCCCTGAATCGCGGACTGAGCCAGCCCCACCCTGGTCGTGCCTCGTAGCCAGCCACGTAAACCCCAGCATGATGGCGCAGGCCTGTAATCCCAGCGCTGAGGAGGCTGAGACAAAAGGATCACTATGAGTCCGAGCTTCTTAGTGAGACCCTGTACCAATTTAAGTTAAAAAAATAATAGTAAAATAAAGGAAAGAAAAGGTGTTTGGCCATCAGAAAGACCAGAGACTACTGGAAGAGGTGGGTTCCAGTGGGGCGAGGCCTTAAAATCAAGGCAGGAATCCTTCTAAGGGAGAAATTTTTAAAATTTTCTAGCAATCAAGAGAATTGAGCTCTACTCAACCTACTGAGAACAAACTTCCATCAAGTAATCCAGTGAACAAACCCTGGAAGATTTTGAGACTTTTTCAAATTAAGCTATTTATGCTGCTATGCCAGTATTCTCCATGTAATGCACACTGAATTTCTTTTACAGTGAGGTAAGATTAACTCAGTCCCTCACTACTGGCAAAAGCCACAAAGAATCTCTGCAGGGACCCAACACAGCCGCTCATGAATTCCAGGGGGCTGGCTTGGGGGAGCATATTTTATTTTATAATACCAGAAAATTAACTTGTACTAGCAACATAATACAAAAATGAATCATCCATGTATTTAAAACTGAATAAAATGGGATATTTATTTCTAAAATGGCAAACAACAAAAACAGAAGATTTAGAGACCGTTTGATTAAAATATTTGAAAAAATCAAAATTTTCATTTTATTTTATTATCATTAATACAAATGATAATAGTGACATCAGAACACACTCACTTTACATTCCCAAAAAGAAATCTCTTGCTCGCTTACTCTTGCACTCATACCTTTACATTCTAGAAAAGGCAAAAACAAAAAAACCAAAAAAACCAAAACCCTTCAGTTTTACATATATATATTTCATTTAAAACAGGCAAAAAAACAACACTGATCTTTATACACGTATTACAGTAGATTGCTCACAGAACAGAGGCACATTTTGGTAGCTCTTCTACTACCAATATTATCAAATACCCACATATAATTTATAGACTTCAAGGTCCTGGTCTCATCGCTTAACTAAGGGAGTCTAGATCCAATAAATACTGTACAAAGAATAATGCTATAACACAAAGTGCAGAACATTTCTGGACAGGAAGGAATCATACTGCAAGGTTTTAGGGAAGAAACGAGGCTTGAAGGCATGTGGGGCAACTGCAGGGTCCTCGAGGCAGGTGACCACGGCTTGATATGCTCCCTGAATGGAAAGCACTGAGCCCAGGGAGCTGTGTCAGAGGGGAGAGAAGACACGGTCACCTGTGTCCCCTCCTCTTCCACTTGATGTCATATTACAGTGATGAACAACCTGAATACTACTCGATAAACTGGGGACTAAATCATTTCTCAGCAGCAGGAAGGACACTGGACCAGGAGGCTGACACTTGTTCCTCAGCATTTACATCTACTCTGAGGGCCAAAGCCATAAAAAGTAAGATGTCAACAGATTTACCCTGTGTTTCACATCCCACAGGGTAGTCAAAGTATTTCTGCCCTAGGTCCCAAGTTAAGCCATTGGACCAACCTGCTAATGCTACTGTGTTCAATAGAGACCCCAAGTGTGGAAAATGGTGCTTTTCTCAGCTCCAGAGTTAGTGACAGAAGTTAACTCTGCAACTGTGGCTTCTGCTCTACGGAATTTCCCTCAGAAAGGTTAACGCAGCCTCACCATGGAGCTGGCAGTGTCTGCCTGACACTGTAGTCAGTCTGGTATTTCAAATGTGCCCTCACTGTTGAACTACTTCACAAGCTTTTGTAGCCAATTTGCACACAGAAACACAGGGCTTGTGAGGAAGCCAGGAAAGACACCCAAGAGCTATGACAAAGACAGGCCTGGGGCTCACAGAGACCACGGGAACCTAGCTCGGCCGGAAGCTCACACAGCAAACATCAGTGCATGGCCGCTGCCCTCACTCTTGGAAGGGGAGCGTGTGCTAACGCTGGGGGCTTGGTAGGAAGTAACTTAAGGGGAATAAAAAACCAAGTTAAAGAGAAAGAGAAAAGGATGAGCGAGACAAGGGCTACCACTTGGCAGTTAGTGCCATGAGCTTTTTAAACAAGCAAGTGCATTTTACATGTAGAAGAGAATATTTTTTAAAAAAACTTAGATACTTTTAAGTCTTCCAAAATAGTCTCATTTTGGCATGGACTAATGAGTAATTCTTTAAGTTCCTGAGGCTGACTTCAAAACAAGACATCTTTTCAAGAGTTCTACAATTTCCCAAAAGACTAGTGACAATAGTATATTATAGCCTATATTCAGAACCCTATTCCAGCACAGTATAATCACCATGTGCCTGCATGTGTGTGTGTGTGCACGCACATGTGTGTGTAAGTAAAATCATAATACAGGGCTTGGCTATAGCTGTGCAGCACAGTGCCTGCCTGGCAAGCACGAGGTCCTGAGTTTGACTCCTGGTACCCCCCAAAACATAATATAATATTTATATATAAATATGTGACTCTATAAAATATAGTCTATAGTATGGTATATATTAGTGTGCATATATACATACATAGTATACATTACTGTATAGAGTCATTGATACATATATTAACATGTATATATGCTAACATATATTAGTAGTACTATATTACTTATAGTGTATTTTATTTGTACATATATGTTATATATATGTATAGTGTAGGTTTCACAATATAGCATTAATAAATATTTTTGCTATGTCCTTAGAAAAATTTCTTTTTCTCTTTGAACTGAAGTTGTGAATAGGACCACAGTGAACTTAGTGCTTCTGTCATTTTAAATTTGCATTACACTTAGGTAAATGTCAGCAAAGAAAACATTTGCAATGAATATAGTGATCAACGCAGAATTTGGTCATGGTCCACACCACCTTTCCCAGACAAGTTAGTGACGAGACTGTTCCGTAAGTGGCATTCATTCATAGGACATACTCCAGCTTTGCCTAGCATGCTGCCCTATAACACAGGAGACACAGGTTTAAGGTTCTGATGTGTGATGCTCTGAACTTTCATCACTGCTTATTTTTCATCAGTAAATGAGTTTGAAAGAAATAGGTGAGTTACAGAAGCCTGTCATGACACCAATGTGTGACAGGGTGCAAAAGCTGAAAAAAACTCCTTTGTTTAACAAAGGAATAAACTGAATCAACTCTTCCTCCCTGGGCACATCTGCCCCAGGCCCCATCCCCGCCAACCTGCCACTTTCCCTGCCATCCCGTTCAGTAAGTTCCACATCCACACAGCCCTCGCAACCCTGCATTGTACAAGTGAGGCACCAACCGGTGAATTAAGCTTTGGCAAGCAGGCAACTGGACAATTCTTTGAGCTTCGCTGAGGTAGTGGAGTCGCTCTTCCTGGGATTTTAGTAGTTAAGAGAGTTCTACAGGGCTGAACGAAGAGATGAGTGGAGTGCTCAGCACTGTCCCCACACACTGTTCTGAATGGGCAGTTTACAGGTTAAGCACATACTCCGCATCTTTAGCAGAATCCACACAGATACTGAGATCACCGCGCGATGAGGTAATGCATGGCCTCCTGAGGGCATTGTGCAATTCATTACAACTTAGATTTAATTCCTGAATGTTTTCTAAAAAAGTGCCTGGTGCACAGTAGGTGCTCAATAAATATTTGATAACTGACTAAATATATAAGAGCTCTGATTTACCTCAGTGAGATTACAAGCAAAAATAAGATATTAAAAGTCCCAACCAGCTCCAAGCTCGTGGAAGTCTTAGATGGCTTTCTTCAGTGCACAGAATTTCAGATGTCTTTCAAACTATGAGATTAAGTTCAGATGGTACTGAATGTGGCGCAGTAAACGCTTCTATATTAACTCCCACATGCTAGATATCCTCATATTTCCATTGTCATTTTACTAGGAAGATGTAATTGAGGGGTTCTTATCAATAAATGATCTTTCTGAAGACAAAGCAATCCACTCTCTCTGTTGTTCTTCAAGCTTTTCTGCCAAGCACTTAATCAAGACAGGATCCACTCTCGAATCAAATTTATTAGCAAACCAATGTCCATCCTTCATAAGCCACCTTAATTCCGCAGCTCCATAGATACACACGCTTCGAAGATGAGTACCAGTACAACTGGGATAGAAAAAGCCCTCGTAGTAATTCCATTTGACAAGGCGGGTCTTACTCTGGAGGTCGGACACATCCTGGGCTGACCTGGAAATCCCCCCAGGTATTCCTGGTACCCTGATTAAAGTAGCCCAGAAGTGCTCATCAGGAGAGTAAGTATCCCTAGACCAGGCAAGAAAGTCTTCGGTGAGGGAGCTGTTAAACAAATATTGTATAAATGTCCGGCTCAAAACAAAATAGGCGCTGCCCACAAATATCTCAATGTTGTGAGGGGGTGCTTCCTTGGAGATGTTTGTCCTTACTGGTAGCTTCACATATTCATAAGGCACTCGTCTGAGCTCATGGTGATAAGTAAATCTTTCCATCTTACTGTTAGGGGGTTTCACTGACTCTAGCATGTTTGCCCCATTGAGTTTCTTCAACTCTGACACTAATTCAAAGTTTGACTTCAGAGGAAAATCTTGCCCACATAGGTTGATGACGTATTTCCAGGGAACCAAAGACCTCAGAAGGTCTGATAAGCAATTTAAGTCAGCTTGGAGTCTGGAAATGTGGGCATACTCCACTGCCTCTAACTTGGAAGCAATGAAAATATTAGAAAAGCACTTAGCTAAGTTGTTCATGGCCACTTTGAAAGGATCGGGTGACTTCAAGTCATAATGAATGCAGTAGATATTGTGCTGGTTGTATATAGCGTGGATGAGCCTTTCGACCATAATCGCGTCTTTATGGACAACCAGAGAATAAGCTATTGGGAAACTCTTTTCTTCCTGTGACACGAGCTTCTGAGGGTATCTTCTTAGAGCCCGATAAATGTCACAATCACTGGTCATGGCCACCACGTCATCATCCTCCAGGTCAATGATATCCCGTTTCCGGATCTCCAGACTCTTGCCGACTTCCAAGGGCTCCTGCTCATAGATCCCAGAACAGTTAACTTCATACCTGACTTCATCCTTAACGTGGCTGTACCTGTTTCTTACGAAAGGCGAGGTGCTTAAGGAGTACTCCACCAGGTAAATGCTTCTCTGAGGAAAGAGGAACCTTCCCACATTTAGAAGCTTTAACAAGGAGAAGAGCCATAGGGTTAAAAACAGGAGGAAAACTTTCTGCTGGAGGATGTATTTAAAAAACCATTTGAATATCTTCATTCTGTCAGAGGAAAAAAAAAGACAGTAAATATTAACTGAGGAATATTAATTGATAAGAGAAAATCAATTTATCCAAAATGTATTGGACATCTACCACATGCCCAGCAGAAAGATGAACAAAGAGATGAACAAAGTTATTGCCTTTGCAAGAACTCAGTAATAAGGAAATTGGAATATGCAGAGTGGGAGTAGCTTGTGCCAGCCTGTGTTAACTGTATTTAATTTTGACCTTGGAGTGGCAACATGTTGCCTTGTCCTTCATGGGTTGGTTTTCCATAGCTTTGTAACTAGGGGTGGGAATCTTGATCTTGGGCTCTAGTGGACAGAACTATGGAATGCATCTGGGAAGAGCAGAAAGCTGAGCCCCAGAAGGAGACCAGGAACCCTGAGCTGGCTGGAACCCCTCGGCCAGGAGATCCCCGTCTGGACCCGACAGTGGGGGCGGTACAGGAAGCACAGACGCGAGGACTTCAGAGGTGCTCTGTTAGGCTGGGTGTGAGGAGGAAAACAGAGCTTACTCTGGAGTTTTAAGTGGATGGTCTACCGCGTACAGACAGAAGCACAGGAAAGGAGGAGACAACGTGTGCCCGGTTCAGGACCACTCCAGGCTGAGCGCCTGGGGACCGTCCAAAGAGAGATAGCCACAGCCAACTCAATGGTCCCCTTCAAGCTTGGTAAGAGGTGAGTGCTGGTGAGAAACGTGCTGGCAAGTAAGTGTGGAAGGTGAGTCCAGACCGTGTAAGGCCAGAGCATTGAGCTGGGACGCAGCCTGGGGCAACCGCAGAGTGACCTCCCCGTGGCTGCCAGAACAGGATCTGGGAGCACGATTCAAGGTCGTCACCAGGGGAGGTTCCAGAAGACTGGGCGCACATGTGGAATTAGGGAGTGTGACGAGGGAAAGCCCAGCCAACCCCCACAGGTGTGCGCGGTCTTACTCCTGTTAAAGCAGGCGTAAATAGGAAACAGCTTACACAAAGGGCTCAAATTGGAGTTTACTTTCTTACCCGAAGTAAATTTTTGTTTCTTTTACTGATTGGAGGAATGTCTAATCGGCATTAGTTAACAGCCCCTCTCCCCCAGTAAAATAAAAAGATCTTACATTTCTAAAAATGTTTACAAAGTCCCCCTGAGCAACAAGTCATTTAACTGACACCCTGGCCCTTGCAGAAAGAGACAAGGGCCGGCTCCCCGGCCTCCGCACTCTCCCGCGCCTGCCCCTGCCATTTGGAACCACTCCTTCCTACCCAGGTTATCTGTGCCTCTTCTGGACTCAGCCTTTGCTAAACTCTGAGAGGGGGCCGTTCTGCAGTGCTACCCTGTTCCAAGACAAAAATAGCACCCTCCACCTGCTTACCACCGCCAGAAAGTCCTTTAACTGAAAAAGCACCGCTTTCTATCATCTGTCATCCGGCTGGAAGGGGGAAGTCCAAAATTCCCAGCTTTGCTTTAGCTGGGGCTTTCCCTAGGACAGGGAGCACCCAGGGTGGCACCTTCCCAGCACTTGGCAGGGCGGGGGGCGGGGCGGAGCCAGCCCATGGCCCCGCCCCCGCCTCCTGGGCAGAGACCCGCGGACTCCTGAGCCAGCAGGAGCCCGCAGATCCAGCTGGCTGCGCTCCTGGGACCGGGCTGCCCCTGCCCTCCCAGGGACTGTGCTCTCACAGCTGCATTACTAGCAAACTTCCCTTGGGAGGAGGGGATGCGCCTCCTTCCTGCTCCAGTAGATGAGGAAGCAAATATGAGGGTTTACTGCCATCTAGATACAAATATCTCGAGATGAAGACAACTGAAGAAAAAAAAAAAAAAAATGAGAGCAAGCTTTGGTGGCCACGGCTCAGGTGAAATAAGGTCTACGATTAATTCAATCAAAAACTCTGCTCACTGCAGCCCCAACCCGAATGCAGCAGAAAGCCTTCCCCAGTCCACCCTCGGCCCTTGCTTCCCCGAGGCATCGTGCCTCCAGTTCAGGGCCAAAAGGCCACAGCCATCAGCACTGTTCCAGTGTGCTTTTCCTAAACTAGGAGTTTGTTTTGCTTTGTGGAACCAGGGATTGAACTCAGGCCCTTGCGCTTGCCAGGGAAGCGCTTATTCCACTGAGCCATCTCCCCGGCCCCTCAGCTTTCTGTTTTTGAGTTAGGAATGGAACGCATGAGCCCTGGCTATAGGAGGACCAGGGCTCAGCATATCTAAGCAGCTTATTTTTCAGTCTCGCTTATCTGACTCCACTCTTGGGGCTCTCGGTACACTAGACCTGGCTCGCTGCATCTACTTCTCAAAGATAAGGATACTTGGGACAGACTGGGGCAGGCGGCATTAAGGAACAGTGACTGCCCTTGCTTCTGATCTGAGTAGGAAGCGACAGGAAAGAAAGACAAAGCTTCTGAGGGCCAAGACCTCCCCTCAGGTATGAGCAGGAAAAGAGGAGGCTGCACTCAGACCTGTCCTGGCCACGCTGTGGGGCCGTCAGCCCACGGAAGACCTGCTGCACTCAGTTCTGGGGAGGCCTGTCTAGAACCTGGACCTCAGGCAGGGACTCAGCCCTGCACATCTCTGCCTTCCCTGGGTAAAATGGTCCAGTCCAGACTGTGCCCACCTGGGGAAGGCCAGCTGTGCCTCCCTCATCCCTAACCCCACCATTCTCAGATGACTCGTACTCAGCAACAAGTCCTACCCACACCTATGGGTTACTGCCTTTTACTTGTGTATGTGTGTGTGTGTGTGTGTGTGTGTGTTACTGGAGACTGAAATCAAGGCCTCATGCATGCTGGGCAAGCGCTCTATCATTTAAACTGACCTGCTGGCCAGGGAGATAGCTCAGTGGCTTAAGTGCTTGCCTGGAAAACACAAGGTCCTGAGTTCAATCCCTGGTTCCGCAAAAAATAAATAAATAAATTATCTTGCTTGTCTATTTTTCAAACTTCCTCCTGCTTCCCCCAAGAATCTCAACATAAATTTAGTATTTTACAGTTACTGCTTGACTGCTCCATCCCATGCTCTTTATAGCTTATTATTAATGTAGATTCATTCATTAAAGAGGAGCTACTTGTAAGGGCCTGAGTTCAATCCCCAGTTCCACCAAAAAAAAAAAAAAAAAGAAAGAGGAGCTACTAGGGACACTGTCTTAATTATTCCACATGTAATAACTCAGAGGTAAGCACTAGCAAAATTCCTCTTTTATGAGAAGGGAATCTGAGGTGCATGAGTAATTAAAAACTGTGTAACGAAAGCACTTGGGAGGCAGAAATCAGGAGGATCACTACTAATGTGGGCTGTGTAGTGAGACCCTGCACAAAAAAAAAGAAAACTAAAAAAAACCCCAAAACAAAACTGTATAACGTTCCACATATGTGGAGTGTTCTCCCTGGAATTTGAACTCAGAGAGTCTTGTCACAGAGACCCCCATGCAGCCCTGCTTCTCGGAATATAAAGAAAAAATTCTTCATATTTTTGGCCTGTTTAGCCCTTGACCACTTTTCCTCGTCCTGTGCCTTATCAAACTGGACTAAAGTAGAAAGAGAAGTGAACGTCCCAAACGTCCCATGTATCAGTCCTGAGAGCGTCCACCCAGCCAGCAGAGGACTTACGAGGAGGGCAAGCTTGGTGTGGAGCCGGGTGACGGAGTCCCAGCCGTGCTGGCAGCCAGAGACTGGGCCAGACACTGGGCCAGTGAGGAAATCCGTCCGGCTTCCAGCCCCTGGAGACAGCTGGCAGAAGGGGAAGCAAGCTCCTTTTCAAAGACTACCCTCAGTGATCTTTGTCTCATAAGCTGTCACCAGCGACTTACCGAGTCACTTCTTCTTGTGGTTATCTGTGACACAATTTAGGCTGTCTGAGAATTACCAGTTATTGTAAAAGTTTTTTTTCTTGGTGAAATTTCTCTGCAGTGTCTACTCCTTTCAAGAGCAGTCTTAAAATTCTTAAATTTTATTTTATTATGGGACAGCTTGAAAAACAGGATATGAAGAGCTTATTCATTTGGAAATGTCAACTTTGCTTCTTTCTAAAGTCTTACACAAGAATCAGCATTTGAGAAAAGTAACTTGAAACTCACTAAACACGCCCCCCCACACACCCACCCACCCTGCTCACCATGGACCCTGATTGGGCAGGAGGCACCTTGAGTTCACGAAGTCACCCATTCTCCCCTTGATCCCTCACCCAAGCCAGGAGGGAACTTTGGACTAAAGGCCTTAGGTAGGAGGATGACTCAGCCCAGAGACATTTCCTCAACACCCCCACAGTACCTCAAGAGTTATGCAAAGGGTAGAAAGACAAGTTTCTTGACCTTACATCTCCATTGTTCTACAGGAAAGAGAGCAAAGGTAAATAGTTATCACAGTGAGATGGGGTAACCAGCAACTACACAAAACACGAGCAAGCCATGACTAGATTAATAATACAAGCAAGTAACAGAAGGCTACATTCTATAAGGAAAAGAGAGAGGGCTTTCATTCATTGATAAAAAGCGCTTTTATTTTATAAAAATCAGGGTGTCACAAAAATTTGTAGAAGAAAATGAAGCTCACCAGTGACCATCCCCTGGCAATGACACTGTGTTCTTCCACACTGTTTTTAATAAACACACCTGTTTTCTCTTCCGGTTTCTTTTGGAAGTCTCACTGTAGGGACTGTCCTATGTTTCTTTCATCTCACAATACACCTGGAGTGAGCCCTACCCTAAACCCGTGTGTAAATTCTTAGAGAGTAAACAATTTTCTAACAGAGGTAAACATGCCTTCCAATAGGAAAAAAACCCAAAAACACGAAAGTAATTTTTCCCATTGATGTTTAATTCATAAAATATAATGCCTGTAAGTAAAAGAAGCATACAAGTAACATCCTAACACTTAAAAGAACTTTAAAGGTAACTGAGTCATAATTCCTCCTTCTCTATAGCTACCTGCCCACCATGTAACCCCATTCTTGGAATATGCTGGGACCATGTTTCTCCTCTTACATTATAAGCAACAGAAATGTCTCACAGGGCTGGAAAATCCAAGATGA